GACTCTAACAGTTTTCAACATAAAATAAGTTTACATAATTACTTTTAAATTCGCAGTGTTTCCAATCTACAAAAAATATCTTTTAGTTTAATTTAATTTGTTTATTTAATTTTTCATATTATGGAAATAAATATCAAATAATATTTTAAGCATTAAGTCTTTTTTTTTATTAATTTATTTTAATAATAATAAACCCAACCCTGGCGTGTGTACCCGCCAGTCTTACAGCTATGTCCTTCCTTTTTGGTAGTAACGCATAAACAGTTGGCATTTAAGATATTAAGAAATGTATTATAATAATATTTAATGTATATAACTAAGGTTAACTGTGACCTTACCAGCCAAGGCCTTACGCTGAGCCAACACAGTCTTGTTGACTATATTTTGAATATAGATAGACATATTCTTAAAATTTTAGTATGGCAAGTTCAGAATAAGTATTTAGAATATCAATATCGACTATGAGGAATTTATCAAATATATTATTAGTAAAAATCTTGTACAATTTTAAAAGTATAAAAAAATAATAAATCATAATAGAAACAGGGCACATTGGAAAAAATACTTTTGAACGAAATATTTTGTCAAGGTAATGAAAGCGAGAATTGATGATTAAGATTTAATATATACATAAATCTAATTAATCAAAATAAACGAATAAATCTACAAACGATTGTTAACACTGAACCGAGAAGTTAATACAAGATTAATTCGAACGACAACTTAAGAAAATAAAAGTAAGCACCAAAATTTATTTGCAAGTTTTACTCTTTAAGACTTCACATAGTAAATAATAAGAGTAAAAATAGGTAAAATAGGAATAACTTTATTGAGTAGTTAAAATTATTACTTTACTCTACATATTAAACCCCAAAATTCCCATATACTATCTCAACTCTAACTCACCTCTTACTCACTCCTTACTCACAACTCCTCTATTCAAATCTATCCCTACTTCTTNTTCCTTACTCACAACTCCTTTATTCAAATCTATCCCTACTTCTTTATGTTAATTTTTGTTTATTACACTAAATAGACAATTAAAATCATTCATTTTTATTGTTTTTAAATTAAATGTCGAATTAGATTTAAAATGATAATAGGTTTCTACAAAGTTAAATACTTTTTCTTTGTTATTTATGAATTTCTTGACTCTATTTGTGTAGTCTACTATCAGTATGTAATGTTTCTAATAAGCGTGTCTTTTAAATATTTATAACAATATGCAAAAAGTAGACGCCAACATGAACTGGACATATAATGAAACTTAACCCACATAGCGTTCAAATAANTAATAAGCGTGTCTTTTAAATATTTATAACAATATACAAAAAGTAGACGCCAACATGAACTGGACATATAATGAAACTTAACCCACATAGCATTCAAATAATAACGTTATTGGATTATTTTAAACATGACTAAAAAACAAATGAAAGAGTACACTGTTAATACAAGAATAATTATAAAAAGGAACAGAGTGAACAATAAATTAAAAAACGAGATATAAATTACTTTAAAGCAATAAAAATATTAATTAAATACAATAAATGATTGGACATAGAAATTACAACTTAATTATTTAATAGTAATTGTAATGCAGGCATTATTTGATCAGGAGTGTAATCATTTAAGATTTCTTCAATAAATTTGTCGAATTTTTCCAGATCTTCTACTTTACCAAATGTCCTGTTATGCAATTCTGCCTGGAACTCTAATAATTCTATTAATACTTCACTTAAATCGTATTTATCAAAAAAACATAACAATATAAATAAAATAATAGATTTTTTATAATAAATTGTTAAATAATTACATTTTTTCCTAATGATTTTATGTCAAGCATTCAGTATTTTTTTCTAAAATATACAAAATAATTTATACTAGTACGCCTAAATAGAGAGGGTATTTAATAACAAGAGTATTAGAGTGGTCCTTATTTTTCTATTTCTAATTTTAATAGACACAAAGCAAATTTTTTTCATTTAAATGTAAATAAATTACTTACAAAATTTTTAATCTATTAAAATTCATTAAAACGTGGCACTATTAAGTCAATATTTGTCATAAAATCAAATTTATTCTTATTGGTTTTTGTATTCATTAAACATAACATATTTTTTTGATTTTTTAAAGTTGCTCTTATGATAGTTTATAATTAAGAAATGTTGAAACTTCCAAACACAATTTCAGGTCAACTTCCAAGTTTAGAATTTATATTATTAAATAGAATATATTAATGAGGAAAAAATATTCTATTTTTTAGATTGATATGTGATCAGAATCTTTTATAATTACTATTAACAGAAAATTTATGAAAAAAACTAAAAATTTCGTTAAAATCACTATTTTTTTGTATTTTTACTGTAATAAATCATTAAAATAGAAGTCTTAGTAATCATTTGTATGCACTTTTGATGTTTAAATAATTATTTATAGTGATATACAGTACATTATACATTCTGCTAGTTACATATTTTTTGATTTAGATATATTTATTTATTATTCATACGTAAACTAATAATTATTAGTTTACATATCAATAATAATAATAATAATCATACAATAATCAATAATCATATACTGATTATATTAATTAGAAGGATTTAAATAATTAGCTGTGTTAATAAGTGCAAATTTAGTTGCATAGAGATGCTTATGATCACTTATTAAATTTTTTTTAGAAATAGTTTCATTTAAACCATCATATTTTATAATTAATTTAATATCCATTAGAAATTTTAGAGATGCATATCGTTCATATTTTATGAAAATAAAGTTAAACACACTATTAATAAATATTGAATCGATTATTGTACATTGAGATACAAATTATTAAAAAACATCAGCTAAATTAATTGTGAGTAAGCTATAACAGGTAAGGGTCTAAATGTGGAGTAATTATTAGGTGTTTCAGAAATGTGTCTGGTACTGAAAATACGTATTGAAATACGTTTTATAGTTTATTTGTTGTTTACCTAAATTACCTATAATATATAATACCAATATTACCTAAATATTAAAATTTAATTATTTATTCATATTTTTTTAAATGCTTTAGGTATTTCCTTTGTATTAGATATATATGTATTTGAAAATCTAAACCATTATCTGCCAAAGGGGAAATCAAAATAGCAGCTATTCCCAAAGGATAACTTTTTCAACTTAGCTTTTGAAATTGTTCTTGAAATACTCTTAGCTTGAAACAATGTTAAATTGAACATTATAAATATTATACATATATGGCTTCAGTAGTCAAAAAACATACTATTTTTGCGTTAACATTTTTATTTAATATTTTATTTTTTCGACTTTATACTAATATTACTTTTTGAAAAATGTATGGATTAATAGAAATTTTTGTTTAAGTGTATGTCTATAGATAGTGTAAAATTTTTAGATTTATTGAATTATTCCAAAAGCAACACCAATTCCTATTTTCCTAATTATTTCATGACTAAAAATTTTATAGTCTTATAAGTACAATACATGAATTAGTACTTATTAAAGTAATTAAAGAAAGTATGACTTTGATATAATATATTATACATTTTTACGGATAAATTATAAAAAGTTATAAAATTGTTTTATACAAAGTTTTTGTTGGTTTTGTTTTTTAATTCATCCCTTATACCTTATAAGGTGTCAGCTATGTTGTTTTAAATAACAAAATAAATATTTAAATAGCTATTAAAATAAAAAATGTTCTAATTAAGAAAATAATTGGTTAATAAAAACTTTTGATGAGGGACGATAGCGACCATCGCCCACCCTCGAATATTAATGTATATAAAATAATCGCCAAGATGTAAAATTGGAAATTTTATAAAATAACAGATTTTTTATAAATTTTTAATGTTTCTAATTTTTTCTGGGAAGGTTTACGTAACTTAATCACAAGATCAAATAGCCCTCCTGTTTTAACGGAACGCCCGGTTATAATGTGCGGGTTAGTTAACGTCCAATTGGGTTATCTAATTATGCCGGAGAAAGAAATAGGGAGTGGACTGTATATAAACGGATGGTACTTACACTAAATAAAATAATAAGAATTACAAGATAATGAGTTATATTAAAGTAATCATATATATATATATATAAATACCAGTTCGGCAGGTAATCGTAAAAATGTTGTTTGATAATCACCTCGACTATTACGCGCACGAATAATTGCAGAACCTAAAATGACGGTAGTATTTGACTGCGATAAACCGAAAAATTCCTGAACATTAGATTTTGAGGTACCAGTAGTTTCACTATTTGAGCTCACTGGTATTGAGTTTTGGCTATTTACGATGTTAGAATGCAGTAAAGTATGGTGACGCTTCTAGCATTTCGAACATGACAACTTAGATTTGCACTCCGAGGCGCGATGCATATCACTCAAACACGAAAAACATAACTTCTCTTTAATAACGGCTTCACGCCGTTTTTCAGTAGTATATGATCGAAAAACATTACACCGATACGCTGGATGAGAGTCTGAACAAAATGGGCACTTTTTATAGTTTTTTGCTGATCCTGTTAATACAGTTCTTTGTTGTGCATAGAATCTACCTATGTTATTTTTATTTGTGCATTCTTTCTTATCGGTATTGTAACCTTTGATTTTTTCTAAAATTCGACAGCGTTGTCGAACAAAAGAAATCAGGTCGTCTATATTTGGAATTGTAGATTGCGATACTCTGGCCTCAAATAAACGACGTGTGTCTACGTCTAATACCTTAGCACCCATATAAAAAAGTAAAAACCCAGATAAATCTTCCACACCGAGATTTTTTATGGCTGTTACATTGTCATTAAAAACATCAATAAAATCATTTAAGGCTGATAATGATTCTGTCATTATTGGTTTGAACAAAAATAACCTATCCAAATGTACTGATGCTAATAGTCGTTGGTTTTCATACCGCTCCATAAGAGCGCTCCATGCGTCATCATAGTTAGCAGAGAGTGGGTAAGATTTTATTGTGTTTAACGCCGGACCAGATAAACATGATAATAATAGATGAAACCGGTCGATTTTATTAATATTTCTAGAGGAAACAAAAGAATCAAATCTTTCATAAAACGAACGCCATTTTTCGGGATTACCATCAAATTTAGGCAAATCAACATTAGATAAATATGTGTTATATTGTGATTGAGGCGTTATAGAAGCAGGCATACTATTTGTGGACGTAGTTGACGTTAATACTAAATTTATTTTAAAAATAAGCGTCTCCATTACATCGGTAACTGGAGAATCAATACATTCGAATTCTTCGAATGTATTTGTGTTGGTGTTCACGGAATTGCGTAACATGGGAATCTAGTTGGCGCGAACGAATTTCCAACTCAGACATTAGTGATGGGTCACTTTTAACCATTTCTGCGACTGCGTAGATTTCTTTAATTGATTTCAGCGCACAATCGCGTGATAAACGGGCAATAATAAGCGCCTTGTTCTTTTCGGCGGGTTCGGTTTTCGCACTTTTTCTCGGCATGATTACTATAAAATATCCCGGTTCGAAGGGCCAAATGTTTGAACGGAACGCCCGGTTATAATATGCGGGTTAGTTACTGTTCGTTTCTGGAGTATTTATATCATGCAGGAGAAAGAATTTGGGAGTGGACTGTATAAATGAGTAAATGTATTGAAAGAATATAAAACAATAAACTGTATTTTTAACATAAACTAAAATATTATACAGGGTGTTTCCTGACTTACTGAACACCCTGTATATATGTGGGTAGGGGGGTCCTTAATGCTAATGCAACAATGCGTCAAATAAAACAAACAATAAGATAAAAATAAGACAAAACAATATAACTAATAACTACTTATCTATACTGATGATGACTGGTTGATGCGAATGAAATCGTTGGAACCAGAAAAATGTATTGTTGCGAATAGTATGGGCGTATCGTAAGGGCGATAAAACAATAATGCACAAAGGTGCGACAATCGCAAGGGCGATTTATAGGCGTTTTTACCAACTACGTGCTCGCAAACACCATAGAGCCATACAAAAAAACGAATGAGGGTGGCAGCGAAAACGCAAAAACGTTACACAAGGACCGATAATAAACTAGGCGAGTCACAAGAAATCACGCACGTAAACATCCAACGTAATGAATTCCTCGCACAACCGGTGGTGGCAGCGCGAGTGGCGCTATCAGTCACAGCAAAATCGGTAAAAAACGGCCTCTTGTGATGTGTATCTAACATCTATATTTTATTATTATTCCTCCTTCTTAATTATAAAAAAATATAAATATCACACGTATGGCCACTTGTTTTATTTCCCTCATCATCCTTCATTTTAATGATCTCTCTTCATTCTTTTTATTATTGTAATTAATATCCATAACTTTTTACCATTTTTTCTTTTTATGACAATTTTTTATACCATTTGATGTATCTAGTATGTAAATACTATGAATATTTTAAAATAATTATATAATTATCCTTTTAATAAAGGTATTGCAGTGAATAATGTAAATCTGATGATTAAAATTTCATTTTACTTAATTTTTCTAAAAACTAAATTTGTCCTAAAGATAAATTCAGTTAGAAAGTGTAAAATGTTTAAACTTTTGTTGTTCAAAACTGCTTAATGCTGTAATATACAGTACTATCTAATAATATTTAGGCCACAACAAACGTAATGTAATAATATAAACACCAATAGCATTTCTAATATGTAAATAGCGTTTTATTTAAAAAAATGTTAGTGGATTATTCCAAAAGCAAAATTAACTCCTATTTCCTTATTTATATCCTGATTACAAGTTTTAAGATGTATAAGTGTAATATATGAATAAATATTTAATAATTTTAAATTTATTTATTAAATATTTAATTAATTTGTTCAACTACGACAGCCATTTGCACATAGAAGGTTGTTCGTCGGGACAAATTTTTTTTAACTTATAGTACGTAACATAAGTTGTAACATATATTTAATGGTCGCAGAACTTTTGAAACATTTTCAATAGTTAATTTGGAAAAGATCTATATTCTATTAACTTATTTAAAGTTTTAGCACCCCTGTATTCAGGGAAATGGTCCGATTTTTAAATAAAAGTATGTCAGATAATAGGTATATATATACTAATTATTAAGAAACAAAAAATTGTGTTGATCCATACATTTT